GGTAGTGGATTACCAGCAAAAACTGGGAAATTTGTATCTGTATACTATGTTGGTCGATTGAAGAATGGAAAGAAGTTTGACTCAACAACGCAAGGAGAAGGTTTCAAATTTAGATTAGGAAAGGGTGAAGTGATTAAAGGTTGGGACGTTGGTATTGCAGGCATGAAAATTGGAGGAAAACGACGTATCACAATACCACCAGCTATGGCGTATGTACTTCTTTTTGTTTTATACATTAAAAATTATTTACCAGAATGTAATTTTTATATTTCATATACATAAGTTCTCATAAACAATGTATGTTATAGGTATGGTGCAAGGGGATCACCACCAGTTATTCCAGGCAACAGTACACTTGTATTTGAAGTTGAACTTAGGAATGTCCATTAATAATTACATGTATTTTATTGACTCGAGTATTGTTAAGCAATCTATAATGTATTTTGAAACAATGAAGAAGGCATCTCTTTTCTATTGTCCATCTTCAGGATATCACTCGTATAATATATTTTGTACTATGTAATATCATTTAGATTCTTATAGTTTAAATGTGATGTATGAATGTAAGTGAACATAGCGTATTGGATTTTTGATTATGAGTATCCATAAAATTTCCGGAAACTAATCCTAATTAAATGTTGATCTAATAAATAGCGTTTACAAATAAAATTGTCTACATTGAGACAAGCCTTGACCTAATCATACGATACAATAGTTCAAATAAAAATAAATTTTCAATATGTGTTATTGTGCATTGCCCATTAGAATGATACAATGGAATTGAGTGCATATTGCTAAACAATGTCATTACAATCTTATTGTAGATACATAAAATTATGAGATATTAAAAGTCTTAAATGAATATTTCACTCTATGTACGCTACATGTAACTTTTTTATTTATTAATCATGTTTCATGTTGTACATTAACTCACATAAACAGTAACAATTAATTTAGATAAATCATGATACATGTATATAATTTGACAACAAAAGATACTAATTCAATATTAATATCAATCGAACTATATAAAGTATGTACAAAAGGCAATTAATACTATAACACAAATGTAACTGATATTATTGCATAAGTTAGATTTACACATATAGTTTATAAAATAATAAATGCATATTGCGTATTAATCCATCTTAACTATGTTCAATCAGTCTTTTTATTACATTGACCCTTCTTCCAAGATAATGTACACACACCATTTGTGCACTCTTTTACTAACTGGGGAGGTTGTTCTTCAGAGGATGTATCTTTTCCTTTATTTCTGCTTTGCCACCACTCTAACAATATTGGTTGAATCAAAAATCTCCATATCACAAGTAATATGGGAATAGCCACGCATGGTACGCATACCATTTTAAAGTTATTCGGTATGAAATCTGAAAGAAATATGTCATTAGTCTATGCATTGTTATAAAGCATTGAGCTACAAATATTTATATATTTTTTTAACATTAGTGACGAATAAAACTATATTTAATTTTTATTTGTTTATACTTTTTAGTATACACAAACATTTCGAAACTCACCTTAAATTAGATGAATGTGTGTATCTTCCTTCTTATTCGACTTGTCGAACGTTATCGCGATATAAATTAAACGAAAGTATAACCTATATACGATTCAATTAAGAAATAGGTCAAGTATATCGAGTAACTTATTATTGCTTTTTATTGATGTTCTACAGTATTGGCGTGATATTATTGTTATGAAATGATCTTGAATTTCGTATTCAATGAGAATTTATACTTTTTCTATTTGCTTTGGACTATTCATGAAACGCAGTTCTACGTAACTTTATTGCACACTCATGTTGTCATAAGCATGCGCAGAGATTATCAATTTCGTTCAAATTTTAAAACGTATTTACATTACAATTCGTACCAAAATTTTTTGTTAAATTTACAGTGCTTATCGTTACATTATTATTATTATTATTATTATTCATAGTTTATATTGTAAAATGTAAATTTGTATAGTATATTCCACGTGGACATTATTTTCCAGTTATATTAAATACGTAGCGAATAAATTAATGCTATTCCAATTGTGTAAGTTAACGTTCGAGTTTAAATTTATTGAACATGTACAAAAATCATTATGAATCCAATATTTATATATAACACAGGGTATTTCAAGTTATATAAAGTTCATAATAAATAAATGAACACTATTTCGAATATTCCAATGATATTCAAGATCGAATGCATTACATTTTTTAAATCGATATCCTTTGTCTATCGATTCGAACGTTTTGCCATTGATGGCGTCATCACATTGAAAATTGAAATTTCCTTATATGGTTCCTTATGGTTCATCACGACGCGCAATCA